CGGGTCTCTGAGGAGACGACGACTCCCGCCAGCCCCGGCGACTCGCCGCCGCTGGCCTGCCGCCGCTCTCCGCCCCGCTTCGGCTAGTAAATAAGAGAAGCGCTACTGCTAGAAAACGTAAATGGCTTTCTGAATCCGTGGCGAAGCCAGCCTGAACGCATTTCCCGGGTCGGGTATCGAGGTCGTCGCCACATGGCTGCACCAGGACAAAAACCACCTGTGCTAGATACCAGATATGTCGTTCCAGTTGTGTGGAACGCGAGACCAAGCACACACTGCCTGTTCGGGGCAGAAAACTAGATTTGATGGCGATTGATGGCGCTGGCTAGGGCCCACAGGGGAGTATTTTACTTCAGACTCTATGGCAGAAAGGCACCAATCCCCTCACCACCAAAAAACGGGCAGAAGTTTTCAGCCCACGCTAGACAGATGATCCTTTCCAAAATACAGCTCTGAAGGCCATTAAATAAAACGATGACGGATTATAAAACTAATCCAGATGCAAAGCTGTTTTTGAAGACACGTGGCTGCCCTTAACGGCAATCTGTGCATCACCCACACGTCATCCGGCTGCGCGGGGCTTGAGCTCACCGGAGCAGAAGCACCTGGGCAGCAGCCTGAGCTGGCAGGGCTCCTGGCGTGCCTCTCGCCATTGTTAGCGCTATAGGAGACCACAGGCAGCCTCGGCAGCAAAGCACATGCGACGCTCCTGTCGAAGCTACAAAGGAAGAGGCGAGCACCTGGCAGCCTTTCCCCCCAGACCCGGGGATCCTTGCTCTCACACTCAAAACTACTTTCTGCTGTCTTCTGTCGGGGGCTGTGCAAAAGAGGAAGCAATTGCTTAGGGAGCCTCATGAACCCTCTTGTTCAAGCACATGCAAATCTAAAGCCAGCATTATTAAAGAGCATTAGAAAATGCCGAGACATCTCAGCCAGCTAAATGCACCAATAGGCAGCTTAACACCCAAAGTACAGAGACAGGCGCTTCATAACCTGACCCAGCTGAAAGACTAAAACCACTTCAGCAATTGCTAGCCTTAGTCTATTGTACAAGGGGTTCAAAAGGCATTTATATATGTAGTTAGGAGCAACGTAGCTACTGACAAAAGATCTAGTAAAATAAAAACTATACTATAAAAATCTTTCTTCTGGAGTGTTGTCAGTGGTTGTGCCTGTTTTATTGAACCTTATTTTTAAACTCTTACTTTGTTTCCTCTGATCTACTTTGTTTTGTAAACATTTAAACTAAAATGAACCTCGGGAAAAAAAAGCAGCTGGGTACAAAGCTTCAGAATAAATGTCAAACTAACAGAGGATTCACATGCTTTAGACGTGTGTGTACAAATATGCATAAAAGCATCAGTTATTTTCAAGGCTGCATTACATCACATTAGTAGTAAAATAAAATTTACTCATGACTTCATATGCTTCCCTTGCATCATTTATCAAGAACCTACTACAAGTCCAGTGAATGATAGAAGATAGATTAATCATGGTTCTAGATAATCAATTTTCACTCAAATGCTCCAACTTCCTACACTGTTTAAAGTGCTAGGGTCTACTGTTTGAGCCATCCGCACAGTGAAAATAAATAGCACAGCTGAACAGAAAAAATACTTTTGCTCTCAACTAAGAGCAAGTAGGAAGCCACATGCTTTGAAGAAAGAAAAACAGCAGTTCCTTCCGTACTGCTGATTTGCAGATGGTTCACAGTAATGGAGAATGTTGGATAAACAGATTTGAGCAGTGCTAGGCATAGGACTGAGGTTAAAAGAAGGGAAGTGAAAGTGCACAGCATAGGAAGGTCTTACTCGAAAGATATCAAAGATAACATTACAGTGACGAGACGCAAAAAGTGCCTCAAACATCTGAATAACACAATCATATCAGCTTAATGATTCTAGATTTACTAGGTTTACTGCCTGTTTGCTAAAAAGAAGAAAATTATCTGTGGGGAGAACTCTTACTGTCAGTACCATATCCTTCCCCTCTGGCATCCTTGCCAGTTCTGATGGTTTTGCCTGTCTTTCTATTAAATAACAATTTAAAATGTGGATTGAAGACTTTAAATGTACCGCAGAAAGTGCTCAGTCTCAATGCAGTCAACAGCAAAAGGTAAATATTTAAGATGACTATCGGTAGGGGCTGGAGAAGGGAGGACTAATAAAAAACACCAGATTTTTTTTTTCCCTTTAATTTCTTATGGTTGAAAAACAACAGCAACTGAGGTTGCCTGTAGATGTTACTGACATTTGTAATTGGGGCAGGGCAGACAAGATTTGTATGTCAAGACTGCCTCTTTAGAATTTGCTGATGGGAACATTCTGCTCAAGTGGATAAAAACCCCACCCTTAAGTCATAGGAGCTTCACAGACCATTTGTGCTGAGGTACAAAAGATCTTCAGCTTGTGGTTACAGAATTATTTGAAAGTGTACACTAATTTACTTCTCAAATACATTATGTTTCTTTATCTTCCACAGGCTTAGAAATCAGGAAATTGTGTGTCAGAACTGGATGACTTGTCTTTTTCTTGCTTGATTCTTCTGAACTATTTCCATAGAAACTTTGGCTTCATACAATGGGATTGGTTCATCCAGCTGAGGCCTAAAATGGAACAATATGTCAGAAGTGTCTGGTGAGCATGCACAGATCAACAGAAATATTGCAGGACTACTGCTATAGACTTTACTTTCACTATGTAAACTTTACTCCTTAAACAAAATAAAAGTTTTACAGCTTTGCTTGGGTTCACAGAAAAATGGAAGAGCCCTAAAGCAAACAAGAAACAGAAGTTAATTAAAAGATATCCTTCTTACAGGGGAAAAAAAGGAGGGGGGGGAAGGTGGTAGTGGTGAGGCTTTTGGTCAACAGAAATACAGTTACCCTGCGTTAAGAGAAAGGATCTTCCATTCCCACCTTATTATGTGAGTCTTCATATCTAGTGAAGCTGTCACTCTTCTCAGAAGAGTATGACAGACCTACCATCTTTTACAATCAACGCCATTTCTCAATCAGACGCAGAGCGGCCAGACATATGCTCTTCCTCCACCAAGAAAAGAATGTGCTGCCTCTGTTAAATTTTGACATACAGCATAATCATGGGGTTTACCAAATTTCCTTGTGCTTAGCCTGCTATATGGTCTATTTCTGCTTGTAATAAACTGCTCTATGTAAACAATGTGAGGCATCTTTTCCTGAGCATCCCAATATAGATATGCAGTAAAGTGCTGGCAAGAGTCTTCTACTCTAATACTGAATTTACAAAAAAAAAAAAAAAAAAAAAGACATTTCTCACCTGAAAATGCTACTTGATAATTTCTCCATTATATCTTCTAAGATGGGTATCTAAGAGGACTGTCAAGGTAGCAACATATCTACAGATGCATCTTTCTATAATCACATTTGCTGGCAAGAGCCCTGTATTGATACAAAACCAGCAGAATGAAGGCAAAATGAAAATTAACCTTAATTCCCATCTCTGTATCAGATTTATGCACTTGTTTATATATCAGAAACCTCCTTTCCTGAAATAGTATGCAGAAATGACATATGGAAAACAGAATTTTGAAAAATAAAGCAAAAGGGTTAAGATTGACAAACGCAGCCCATACTAGTACAACACTAATCAATCAGAACGGCAGTTGCATTTTTTGTGCAGAATGAAGATGACGGACTTACCAGTACCAGTTAACTATCCCTACTATTCATATAGACATATGTGGTAAAAATAAAGTTGGGAACATAGTAGAGTCTGTAAATTCTTGGAGCACCACTACACATCTGTAAGGGATCTTTTGAGTTAATGACTAACACTCATGACAATGCAACAGATGAGTCTTTATATACAGCTCAAAAAATGATGTTCCTTCCTTCATTTTAAGAGCAATCTGGTTAATATTTGAAGCTCAAGCCATTTTAAAAAGCGATCACCTTGTGATTTCTTCAGATGATATTAATGCCATATGCTCAAGAATTTCACAAGATACATAGATCCAAAAAAACCCTCAAAACCAAAACAGATTTCTCCTTTCAACTTTAAAGCCTGTTGTGATAAAACATGCTGTGGTTATTAAAGATACCCCAGGAGACAATATAAGAAATCTTACTGTTTAGTCAGCTTACTTTTTATGTGGGTAACTACTCAGTATGCATTCAACAAAAATACCAAACTCCAAAACAATTCATGACAATCCGCATCCCATAAATATTTCCTTAGTGTGCCTGACCTTGCCTAATGTACTTTGCAGTTTAGTGGAGGAGGGGAGGACTTCCTTGCAGTACAGTTAGTCGTTTCACAAATATAATGACTTAATCCTCACCTGCCTCTGCCATTCTGCTAAACTGCAAAAGTGATTCAGCAGATCTCATAATCTGCAGTGCAGTACAGAACAGGGAGGGTCCTTAAAGCTGTAACAGACAAAGCTTCCATTACTGGAACCAATCCACTGAAAACTGTTATGCTAGTAGAAAGCTCAGAGTCCAGCTGCTTAAGACCAAATGTAGGTAATGCAAATGAAGGAGGTATTCCTCTTCCCACACCCACATCTTTGCTCAATAAATTTAATGTACATAACATTGCCTATAAGGAAAAGGTTATGAAGCCAAAATATTTTAACTTTTACAGTTAAACCGATTGCATTAAGATTTACAGATGATGCACCTACTGCCCAAAAGAACAAAAAAAAAAATTTCAGAATGTCATATGCATAATATAAAAACTTATAGAATCAAATATTCAATTAATTGGTTCAATCTTGAACCAAAATACTGCATTTTCTCCAGAATGTGTGTTTTCTATTTCAGCACTGCTTTTAATGAAGCACATAGAGACGTATATTTAGAAGGAATGCAGAGACTGTTTTAAAACATAAGTGTATGTTATATTTTAGTTACACTGTATGCTTAACTGTGCTGACCTTTAAGCCTGTGGTTACATGACTGAGTAGAAGAAAATCTATTAGTTGGTTTCTCAGTTATATTTCCATCCACTCATATTAGCAGTCAGTATTCAAAATGACCATCAAAAGGATATAGAGATACTTCCCTTGCTGTAGATTGGACAAGTTCCATATCTCATCGTTCAGAAAGGAGACTGTGGCTCCTTTAAGAAACAAGGTATGGCTGTCTGGAGGATCCAGCTTAAACAAATTGAAGAAAAATGTTATTTAGTTATACTTTCCTACAAAAAAATAAAGGTTACATGGTTATTTTATATAGATGGTTAAAACAAACAAAACCCCACCCCTCACCCATTCTTAAAACTTAGAAAATTTGTAATATTTACAGCTTTAACTTTTCTGTCTTGTCAAACTGTTTAATACCCTGAGCCAAAAAAAATAGGTCCTTTAAAATGTCAGTACAGCCAAGCTATTAACATAACTTACTATCATGTCCAAGAAGACAGCCCAAAATTGCCCCAAAGGAAAATAAAAACATTTATTATTAATGCTGTATACTTCTCATTTTCTGGATGTGAAAATTTTCTTAAGTGAAAACTGATATTACTTAACAGTGGGGAACTGTTCGGTCATGACAGAAACTCACAGACACATCCACATATATATACTGTGGTACAAACTAACTTACTGACACAGTATCTTTACCTGAAGATTTTTTTCTGTTGTTATCCAGTGACCCCCAACACCAAGAAGAGTAATGATATCATGCTTATGAGGCAGCAGCTGTGATTTTGAAGTTGATTCATCTTCAGCACTATATAATTTCACTGGGGGGTGGGGAGAACAAATTCATTTGAGCTCAGAAGAAAATTCTGTTCAGAATGAAATGCCCGTCTCTTCCTGTACTGAAAACCACGTATCTTGGGATTCTTTACAGTCCTACGTCTTCAGATACAAATGAGTTGCAATATATGCATATGAATACAATGAAAGACAGCTGTTTGGAACAGCACTACAATTAAATTAGGCTGTTAGTCACATGAGAATATCTGAGAAAGCAGAAGATTAGGAAATTCGATATATGTTTCTTTTAACACATTTCAGTGGAACTCTAAGAAGTTCTTCAATTATTTTAGCTAAAAATAGCAACTTCCAAGTTTTCAACTATTCCAATTGTTTTAGAATACAGGTTGACAGGACTGGCGATTATGGCATAATTTTTATATTGAAATACAGTAGCATAAACGATGTCACAGCTCTACTCTTTAAACACATTTTTTTCTTTTCAGTTTTATATAGAGGAGAATTTCAGACAAATTTAGCAGATGACTAACAGTATTAGATGTTTCCACTAGAGGGTGATATGAGGAGATCTTAAAGAGATCTTAAGGAGTTCTATTGAATAAAGATACATACATAAAATTGCATAAGAACAAGCAACTAAATGTAATCATTTGAGGTGATGCAGCCTCCACCTATATTACTTGGAAATAATAATAAAATAATTTAAAAAAACCCTAATGGTGCTCTGCAGACCGATTTTCATCGGTTACATACCTCCAGCATCTAGAACAATGTCCACTCCCAGGCCACCCGTTTCTTCCAAGCAGCTTTCTGCCACATCTATCTTTCCATTTGACACATCTATCACTCGAGCTAGAAAAAGCATTATATTTGGTTAACTACAATAAAAAAAAAAATGTAGAGTTTCCATTCAGAGCAGAACAGAAAGTTTTTAGTTTCTGAAAGTATTGCAAGCAATTTTGCAGCTAAGTCAAAAAAACTCACCAAGAGTTTTTTTTCACTTCCCAATACAGTGCAAGATCAACACCAAAAAATATGTATTAGCTTAATGCAGAAGTAAAACTCACAAGTCTGTTTAGGCCAAAAAGGATAAAGTATGCCACTAGAAGAATTAGAAAACCTTCAGTAAGTTCATTCTTTGCTATTCTTCTTTTCTAAAAGCACCTTCAAAAACAGCAAGTTCTGGAGTGACTAGACATGTTATTGAAGCAAAAGAGAGTGGCCAAAAGATAAGGAGGCACCTTATTTCACATCTTCCAACTTTCAAATTTTATCTATCAAATAACCATAGCAGTAATGCTTTGGGAGAGTTTTCCAAGCATAGCTTTCTTCCCTTACTCTACATAAAACCCACCACTTCCTGCCAGTCCCTTGCAGAGCCCATCTCTTGCTTCCACATCATAGAGGGAAACAAAAACCTATTCTCCCTGGCATGGAGCCCTGTCTCCCAGTGCAAGTCAGAAGTAAACATGTAAAAATGCAATAAATTCAGTCACTTACAAGGCACTGACTTGACTATTCTTATGATTCCAGCAAGTCTTTTAGTCTTACTATAGCCATCTTTTCTTTAAAACAACGCATAGTAACTTATCTCACAGCATGGATAAACTTATTAATATATTACTTTCTGCATGATGTTTTTAACCTCTAAATGGCTCTCTGGGTCATTAAATAGATATTTAGATGGAAGCATTTACATGTCCTCTTAAAATATTTCTGAACTGAAAGTCACTAATACATTTTGTTCTCATATATCTATAACACCGTATTTATAGATGGTTATAAAGATAAACCACAGAATCAGGAATAACTAGGGCAGAGAAGTAGCAGCTAAGTTTTTTAGTTTTGTTTCATAATCATGAGAACAAACATTTAGAAACTACCAGGCCAAAGACTTCTCAGCAAAATGATAACTGAAATAATGTCAAATAAATTTGGAGGTACATTTCCAAAGCATAATGGATTAAACTCAAATTTTCTACGTGTACTTACCCACTAAAGGCTGCCGTATACCTTCTTGAATTTAATCATGGGGGATGGGAAGGAAGGGGAGAAGAAAAATTGCAAGAAAATTAAGAAAAGTATTAACAAATACTCAGTTAATGCTTTGGGTTTTAGTTGTGGTTTTGGTTTTTTTTTGTTTTTTTTTGTTTTGTTTTTTTTTGTTTTGTTTTTTTCCCCCTTCCAATCAAATCATAAGATGCATTCAAATTCTTAGGTCAATCATTCAATTTTTTCACTGAAGTCAAATTATCTGGCTAAAGAGAACACACATGGTCATAATTTAATAGAGATGTCACATTAATTTAATAATGATAGTCACATTTCCTGTATGCAAATAAAACCCCATAATATCCTTTTCTTATTAGTTTCTTCAGTCAAGAAGTTACAAGGTTTTTCTTAACATGGCAATTTAACATGGTATAAAGTTTCTGCAAATAGTTTCACTTTTTGAGAATAATTCTGATTTAATAGACCCAAAGGCTGACTATCAAAAAGAAAGGCAACAGTTTAATCAGTTTGACTATTTTCTGATTTGTTTAGCAAAAATTTCCAGTTTTGTTACTTAACTCAATACAATACTTCAAGAAGTACTCATCAAAATCCTATTCAATTTTCTTCCTAGCAAAATGTTGTAACAATATCTCTGCACTGTGGAAAAGGCTGTGCAACAAATTATAATTTTCTATAATCCTTTGTCATTTATACAAAAATTCGCGCAAAACATTTGTAAATTAGTTCAGTTTCTTCTTCTGTGACTTGCACAACTTCTAAAGTAACATTATTCTGACTGGCAAAAAGGCTTCCGTTTCTCTCTTCTTTCACTGTTGGTGAGAAGTAGAAGTATCAATATTTCCACAACCTGCTACCAGAGTTTAGTCTCACCCAGTAAGTTCAGCTACAGAGTTTAAAAACTGTCACACAAAAGATCTGCAACTTGGTTTATTGAACATGTTCAAGAGAGCCATTAAATCACCGATGAGTTCTTACCAGAAACGTATCCCCTGAAAGCTCAACATTGGTTTTAAAGGAAAAAAAAAAACCAACCCAAAGCAATCAACTGCAAACTAACCAACCAACAAACCAAAAACCAAACAACAAACCAAACAAAAAAAAAAAAAAAAGAAGGGGGAAACCTAGGGAACAGAAGAAATATATATGTGTGTATATGTATTTTATTCTTCTGTTCTCCAACAGAAACTCATCACATTATTTATGTAATATTGTGTCTCTAGTCTGACATATGGGCATTAAAATTTCAAAATTTATTATAATCCCCTCCTTCATACTATTATTATATTTACTCCAGAGATTACTGGAGACATGCAAAGACCCCATCCTGTTGGTCTAAATATGAATCCTTAAACATTAACAGGAACTTCTACTTCAGGCACTGGAATCATATTTGTTAAAAACAAAACAAAAACCCCCAAATCGCAGAAACAGTGGCTTTTTGCTTTTACACTCAAACTGTTTCTCTTCTTAATGCTGTACCCAGGTTATATCTCTTTATTTGAGGTACAATTGCATTAAATTTTTTTCCCCTAATGTTTATGTTCCACAAATATTTGCCAAACTGCTAAACGAAACTCCTATTGCTATAAAACAAGCACATACATGAGCAATATAAGCAATGGCCTTTTCACTACAAAAGATGGTTATTTCAGCCATTTTATGAAGCAGCTAGTTATGCTATACACTGATAACACAAACTGCTCTTCATTGGCAACTGATAGACTCTTGCTAAAAACTAAACAAAGAAAACACTAAACAAGCACAAAACTGAAGAAGCCTCCACCAACAGACATTAGGAGCCAGCATAGATATAGCTAGCTATGCTTGGGTTACTTAGAGCACTTATTTTATATTAACATTCATATAACTTAAAAATGCCAGCAAAAAGTAAATACACCAAGCAACCCGCAGTCATATGAATATGTGCTGACAGGACTATGATAATCAAATTAATTGCAAAGTCCTTTCTTGGCTAATAAAGTTTTCATATCATTAGCAAAATATACCCATAAAATATTACAAAGCGAGGTTTAAGGTCTTTTGTATTTACTCTTTCACCCTGTAACAGCTGGTATATCAAACCTCTACATGTCAACAGCATTCACAAAAATGCTTTATGTTCTGATGTCTGTAATGTCTACTATTACAGTAAAAAAGACTTCTGAAATAAGAAAAGGAGAAAATAGCTTTTTTGTGAAGTTGCAAAAAAATACAGGTAATATAAAAATCTACAGAAATAAGTCTGCCAGGTCTTAGAAGAAATGATTACATTCCCAACACAAAACCTTGCAGTTCCCTGTTGAAGATTGTTAAGGTCAGACAGCAAAAATGTCTGTCTCCCTGCTCTTGTGTAATAACCTCTGCACAGCACTCCACTTCCTGCTGCATTATCAGCACTCCAAAGCCACTACTGGAAGAGCTAAATACTCACTTGGTAGGCTGGAAGTGAATCACTCCCCAACGCTGCAGATGTGTGTGAACGTGCAGCCCCAGAATGCACATGCACACTGTGTTGTCTCTGTGCTTCCACTGCCAGTTCTGTTCTTGGAAGCCAGAAAGGAATTAAAATTGACAAGAACTCTGTTCTCTGTGTCTGAAGAGCAACTCTCTGGCTTATTTCGTCCCTCTGCTAGCTTACTGTTCTTGAGCCAGCAGGGAGAACACAAGGACAATACTATGTGCACCTGCATATCAGCAATGCTTGGTTTCAGGGAGTCACTAAGAGCAAGAGAGGAGATTTGAAAACTGCTCTAATTCTCCATTTGGAAAGCCAAGATTGCTAACAATATTACTATGCAAAACAACAAAGGAGAAAGGAGTCAGAGTCAGGGACAGTTAACCTTGACATAATCTTTTTAATCAGATCTCAACTTAGCCCATATATATTTTGATTGATGCAACTGTAATATATGTAGATGTGATAACTGACTACACAATGCTTTCCCCCATAACAGCATTCTTATAAGGGACACAGCTACTCTTACGTATACTTCTTTGAATGACAACAAAAATCATACACTGAAAAATAAACTTCGTGATTATACTGTTGCAGTCTTTGCATTTTGAGGAGGAAATACCATACACTAGTTTTAACCTTGTGTTCACTGAACAGCAAAGTTCATGGACCGCAATCAAACTGGACTTTGCAATGCCATCCTTTATTTTAAAACTGTCTGAATAAAGACATATTCTACTTTCCTCCACTCTGCAGCATCAAAAAAAGAAAAAAGTTTGATCAGGAAAGATGCTAGTAGCTTCTACGTTGAGTATTTTCCCGTGGTCCAAATACCACTGTTACTTTCAGGGAAAAACCCCAGAAAACTTCAGTATCAAAGGGAAGAAATGGAAGAAGTCATAGATGAATGCAACTATTATGTCTAATGCAAAGCTCATTTAGAAAATAGGAAAATGCAGAGCCTTTGAACATCCAGCTGCAGTTATGACAGTACTTGAAACTGAGCTGCCACACAGCTTGATAAAATACTATTAGAAGTAATTTGAGTCTGATGAATACTGTATCTCAAGTATATGATTACATCTGAACTCTGGCTCAGGTACCTAGATTACATACTGTGATACTGGTGATTTACTAATGCTTTCTTCTTTTTCACAAGCAACAATTTTATAAAATGAAAAGACTTCTTGAGTAGTTAGGCCAAAAGCCAGCACTCAAGCACTATTCTGTGAGATGGAAAATACTGAGAGACAGTCATTACAATTTAAATGAAGAATAAAAATGCCATTAAATACACCTAAACCAGAAATTAAATACCTATGGAGTACAGAATAAATTTTAAAACTATTTAATTAGACTATTTATAAATTTGTATTTCAGTTTTCAGCTACTGAAATAAGTCTCTAGAATAAAAAGAAAAAAAAAAATGTTGAGACATTTTTTAGCGTAAACTTTAGCACTGAAGAATATAACTTACCCACAGGAGGTCTAAGTCTCTCCAGGTACTGCTTATCTTCAAGACTGTATGCAGTAGAGACTACTTTAGCTCCCCTATGTTGTGCTAACTGAATAGCTATTGTACCAAATGGCTGCAGAAGAAAAAAAAAGGTAGATCAATTTTTTTACAGCAACAATTTGATGCCGTTTAAGAAAGATTATACTGCAAAGGACATTCAAGAGAAGTCAGGAGAGTATCCAGAAATGAACTTACTCCTTCAGTAAAACACATCTGAACCAAGAATTTTAATATTTCATAGATATGCTTCTGTTCTAAGTGAGGCCAAAAAAGTCTTTTCATTGACTGGGAAGCTCTGAACAAACTTTCAGTAATTAACTAGCTCTCCTCTTCAACAAAATAGCTCACATTCTACTTTAAATAACGCAAGTGCCATAACTGCAATTTTAACATGTAGCTTTGGGCTTGCTTGTTGAAGGAAGAAGTGCTCCCAAGGAAAAAGCCCCAGCTACATTTACATTAATGAATCTTGGCTGAGGCAAGCTCCACATCTTCATTAGCAATAAAGATTGCAGTAATGCAAATGAAATTATTTATATCTAAGAGAAGTTAAAAAGCAGTGGTGGGAAAAGAATAAAAAATCAAGGCACTTTCCTCCAGTTATACCTGAGGGCTTAGGGTAAAACTATGTCAATGTAAATCACCAGAAAAGAACTACCTCTCTTCACTATCCATACAACATGTAAAGGACTGTATTCTTGGCTCAGTATCTTATGTGGGAGGGCCTTTCTTATTAATGCATTAAGTTAAGGGTGCTGCCAGGAAAAAAATACAAGGCTTATAAGTTTAGTATGTTGTAAGAAATCCAATTGTTTTGATAAGACAGTTATTTATGGCAGAGGTAAACATTCTGTTCTGAAATTGTTATTATTGCACAGTTGTTACCTACACTTGCTCCATCCATTACAAGGACAGTTTTTCCAGGAGAGACTTGGGAAAGGTAGTGTAAAGCTGTATATGCTCGGACACCATCACGAACAGTCCCAGCCGCTTCAACCCAACAAACTTTTTCTGGTTTACGAACTAAGTTTGGGGAAAAAACAAACAAACAAAAAAAACAGATGGGAAAAAACCAGCAAGTCCCTGACATTTCACTCAGAATGATTTTTTTAGACTTCATCGATTTCTAAAACATGAAAGAAAATTATAGAAGTCATATCATCTACAGGTGTAATTATGATCTATTTCACAAAGGCAATACTGCAATGTTTGTGGCTCATGGCAGCATTAGGTCAGCTACATAGAGTCAAACTGGAAAAGGCAATTGTCATTCCAAGAATAATCAGTTTGCTTCTGCAGCACTCTTGTGAGCAAGTTCAAATACAAATACAGTATTTAAACAGGAAAAAACACACTTCCTACCATAACCTCCTGACAGAAATTATCTGAAGAGGTCTCTTCACAAAAATAATTCTGACACAGAGAACAGATAATGCGAGTTCCAACTCATGAGTTCCTAATTCTGTCTCTATAGGTTAGAATCTTCTACTTCATAATCCATTGGTATAAACAGCTTCTGGAGGTTATAACACACTTTAAGAGAGATAAAGGTCATGATAACATTATTTGTCACCTCCATTTTCTGTTGTCTCTACCTACAAGACACTTAACAGTTTTCCTATTCTATTCACACTTAAAAGCCTGGGGAGATAACGTTAATGAAGTACTGTATTAACTAGAATTCACAAGTTCAAACACCATTTTTACTGTAAGCAATTTACATGATTTAGCAGAGACCTTGATACTAAGCTAGAAAATCATCATTGCCCAGCTGAGAGTCTAGCACAGAACTGAACTAAGTAAGCACAATCCTCTTGAGGCACACTAGAAAGGTAAGACTGGAAAAGTTTGGTCTGTCCCTTTAAGCATAAGGATTGACAGTTTAGCCTGAATTGGGGAACCTATAAAACAACATAAGCAATGCGATCACCTGGGATCATTTATCAGTGTGCTGGAAAAGAATTCTAGGGATCATTACCAGCATTATCACTTTGTGTGCTAGTTCATACTACTTAGCACAAAGTAAGCTACTGAAGGTAATATAAAGTCAGAAATATTTTCTGCCTATAGTTACTGTAAATAGTGATAAGGCAGCACAGACATCTATATTTCATTTTGCTTGATTTGTACTTTTAAGTGTTAGAAAGAATAAACCTTACTTTTTCATCTCCATGAGTCCATGACCTATTTTGCAAAAACTGTCATAGCTAGTCAGGAAGATCTCATCTTCAAACAAGTCAACATAAATAATACTTGTTTGCCTCTCATAAATATATTAAAAAAAAAAAACATGGAGAGGATATTTTATGATATTTTACACAATAAAAGTAGGGATTTGGTTTTGGTACAAACAAATTTAAAGCAGTCACCTCATAACTACACAGGTTGAATTAATGGACAGTCACAGAAACACAATACAAACTAATTTGAGCAAAAGAGTAGCTTGCTCAAAGTAACACAACAAACTGTTGGCAGAAGCACAGAGATTTCCAAATTTAGTATTCTACACATTAAAGCACTCTATACCCCAAAAGGGGGAAACTAGAAACTCACAATAATTGAAAAGAATGTTTCAATACTAGGTTTTCCCTGATCCTCATTCCCTGAAAATTCTTTTCTCCAGCTTCTATTCTGCTAATTTTATCCCATCTGTTAGTCCAGTCACAAGTGATATTCCTAAATTGAGTCAAAGTGAGGAAAAAAAAGCAAATTTCTCCTTATTTAATTTTGTGACAGATGAGGTGAGGAAAAAGCAGAAAGACAATGAAGCAACAAAAAGGGAAGTTAGAATGGGGGGCGGGTTTAAGAAAAAAAAAAAAAGAGAGTCAGCTTATGTGGTTTAGGCAAAACATTAACCCATTGAATGATAACAGCAAAGATAAAGCCCTTGAGAGTACATAGTATTCAAAGGTTCTATGAACAGGTGGAGTAGACAGAATGTCTGAATGTTGCTGTACAGAATAAGTTTGCCCAGAGGTCCAAGTTAATTAGCTCCCTATTAGAAAAGCTAAACTGAAGTCTAAAGATAGAGTAAATGTAAGTATTAGTAAAATATATGAACCACATACCCAAATAATGCTCATGAACCAGAATAACTTCACAAAGACCAGACTCTTCGGAATCCAGGGGCAAAATTCCTGAAAAAAATTTTTAATATAGACCTTTAATTTCAAACAAGCATACACTATAACCAAAGCAAGCTCCTAATGAAACTACTAGTCCCACTTGGTCAGTTGCCCTCTTGTCAGGTTTATGACAGGTTAAGAAAACTTGGCAAGGTAACAACCTGTAATATCTATGGGCACAGTGCACAAGAGGGTTCCAAAGGTGCTCCAAAGAGCATTTTGGGGTTGGGGAGAGAAAGAATGGGGACACTACTGAGTGCTTTTTGCTACTGGTATGTTTAATTTTTGTCAGGTCATGTCTGAATTCATTTCACACTGCTCTCACACTAATGAGTGCTCCTGTTTCTACTCTGAGCCATGGCTAACAAGAAAATCAAGCTCTCATATTGCAGATGGGCACAGACCAAGCCACACTACAGATACTTCTACTCTTCCATCCTAATAACGTGTGGTGTTAGCAAAGGCAGCAAAAAAGGGACAGAAAGAAGCAGAACAAGCAAGAATGCATGAATGCAAGTTTTAAAAAGTTGGAAGAGAAAAGAGGAACTGAAGGAAAAAATAACACCCATGGAAGACAGAGAAAGCAAACACAGAACAGGCAGAAGAAAAAAGAAAACCATCCTGGTCATAACAGTGCTTTTTTCCTCCACTGGGCAAAGAAGGAGAGTCATGAACAGTAGGTTCTGGCAGCCAATCAGTCTTCTGACTTATATGTACCCTCTATCCTCAGTAAAACAGTATCTTTTTCCCCTCTCTCATCCAAATCTTATACTCCATTTAGACCAACGCAAGGGCTTTGGCTTAAAATCCTTAGCAAATTTGGCTAAAGCTCTCAACGGCTTATCTATAGAAAAATACAAAGTCTAAAGTGGCTATCTACAGCAGCTATTGTGCAATTAGGAAATAATGCAAGAATGGCAAGAATCTCAGAACAGAACACACTTTCTTACAACATCACTATCACTTCTGTCTTACTTTTGTAACTTAAGTCATCCTCTAATCCTTTAATTTAGCATACAAAATATAAACATGTATGAAAGAATGTCCCTAAGAAGTATCTCTTCTATCCTAAAGCATCATTCAGATTTTGATGATTAATACAACATCATATTTCAAGTGTTAAGAAAAATTTCCTTATAGTAAACTAAAATAGCCTTAGCACCTAAACCAGTTTGCATTCTAGCATCTTACTGTAGGTAAAGCAAAACACAGAATGAATAATATATAAAGACATTCCTTTTCTTGACAGACACAAAAGTTCAGGAACAAGTCACATTATCTGCTAACACTCAAGACAGCCTCCAAGGAGTTATTATACATTGCTGTCAACTCATATTGATTTCAGGGTCTCTAAAACCATTCACAAAAACATGACCCTTATACCAAGGGAAAGGCGTAAGGCATCTTAAAGAACCGTGCCCCTTAGTATACCTCACAATGCTTACAGAAGCTCCAACATGAAGTATAGACCTTTATTTTACATATGCTATACACATCAAGCATTTGATACAAATACAAAATTAGATTTTTCACCTTACTTGTCAGAAATACTCCACATAGCATAGGGCTTTTGTGCATTGATTATTTATGTATTCAGTAACAGGACATATGGAAGAACTGACACGCAAAATGGCTAACCACCAGTAAATCTAAACAGTTACGTTTATATTTAGGTTCATGTTGCCAAGTATTTGAGGCCAATTTAACTGTCAGAATATTTTTCCCTGCACTTATTTTAATGAGACACTTGGCATAGTTGATTGCTAAAAGATTCTGAGAGCAACAAATAAAACTGACTGTAACTTTGAAATAAAGTCAAGAATGTACCTCAAAACAAAAGATTTTTGGCTGGTCTGAGGTTTTACTACTGTATTTTTCTTAACCAAACAAACAATTATGTATAAGATAATACATTATATAGACAAAGAAGTCTCCTCTGGAAGATAAAAGAAGGATCAGAAAAACTTTAAAAGCAAGAAACAATTCTGGTATGATTTTAGGAATAGATTAATTATTTAACACACCAAGTACTTCCAGTGAGCACAGTACTATTCCTACACGAAAAAGAGTAGAATCATTAATAAGGGCCGTACTACCATATTATTACTCTTAAACTCAATAAGGAGTATGTACCAGGACTATACTCTTTGATAGAAGGACAGGCTTTTTTGTAAAATTCAAGTAGAAATATTTTTATGACAATTGTATATTTTGGGACAGTTTGATGTTATTAAACACAAAGGTAACCATAGCATATGGCAACAGCTCATTTTCTTTCCAATCTGATCATTCATTAACTATGTATAAATTTACAGCAACATAACTGGGAAGTGTGCTTGTTAGGAAAGATTTACCATAAAAGAAATATTTCACTCCTATCTTTTGTCTTTACAGCATCTATATTGGATGCATAAGGTTCAACAGCTGTTTGAAAGGGAATGCTATGAGATTTCAGTATTTAAAGAAGTGGGTTTTCTTTCTTTTAGGGCTAAAAATATTTGATGCTGTTTTCTTCATTTTCCCATTTCCATACATGTAATTCTAACTTTTCTGTACCTGCATTTGCAAACACTCAGTATTGAAGAATGAAAACCACAGACCATAGAAGTCTCAGATAAAATGAATCTGCTTCTTTCATGACCCAAGTAGAGATTCCATTCCCTTAACGTCAGATTTACTCTGAAGTAGCTCAGTTGATTCAAACTACTAATTCTATATTTGAATTAACAAAAATGGAATGAAGTCTTAATTCACAAAAACACCCAACCCTCCCACAGCCACTTGGAACATCACTTAGACCTCTCAGGTCCATTGACATATTGTCAGAGGTGTTCCCCCCCCCCCCAACTACTTACTGAAACTGTATTCCTTCAGCTACAACAGAAGGTGATTGAAATACAAATACTGTTTTAAAATATTCAACAGATGCAGCATATGCCAGTAAGATATTTAACCAAATACTGTTCACAATAATGATACTATTCATAGTTCAAAGTTAATTCATATGCAAGACCAGAAAATGCCTGGCCATAACTGTTCTACTTTATTGAACAAAGCAAAGCCACTTCTGTACCCCATAAAATGGAATATTTATTCCCAACTGTAAGGATTACATCTTCTGTGGTGAATAAATAGTTATAATCACACATCTTATTCCATGAGATTTAAGCTAATGATATGAAAGGTCTGCCACAGTTTTACCAGGAAAAGAAAAGCCCCAAACACATTGTGTGATTTTTGACTGGAAGTCTGTTTTAAACAACAAACAAAAAAAGTACAGTGATTACCACTTGCCTTTCTGATGGGCTTCTCTGACAGTAATATCATAACAGGATCATAAAGCATGGACTTCCTGTGGTTAAATTAGGGGGGGAAACAAGTCCACTTTCAAGAACTCTAACGTGCAGTAAAAATGAAGATTCTAGAAAACGAGCAGCTTGAATCAGTGTTTCTTTTTAAATGTGGTCTTGTATTTAGCAAAATGCCTGAGTACATGCATTGCTTCTGGCAACTCAGAAAATCCAGTAGAACTGGTGAACCTACTTGCATGTTTAAGTTAGGACCACTCTTAATTTCTTTACTCAAACAGGAATTGATGTGACTTCTAAGAAACTGAACAGTCTTCAGTATGCTTGAAGAGGAGATTCATCACTAGCAGTTAAAAGTATATTTTTATAACATCCTCAAGAAGGCAGGAAATATAAGCCTAGACTTTGTATCATCCACAGAAATCAAAAGATATGTATTAATTACATCAAGATGGTGTTGTGAATACAAATAATTATGTGTGTATTCAGGTGGTTGCCTTTAGAACACTCACTCCACATGGCTAATTGGACCCAGGTGTATATTCTTAGATTTGGTGAATGCAGTAGGACTATGACAGACATTAGCTGGGGACCTGAACTTCAATACTTATAACCCAAAAACTTCCATAAGAGAACACTTTTAGAATAGAATTCTCATTTATAAGAGTGTATTCATGTGACACTAGTTGAATAATTGAAAAATATATGTCTAATTGTAGCTTTAGCAGTGATTATAACCTCAGCCATTCATTAAAAAAAATTACTAATTGTGTTAGTTGATAAGGCAAGCAAGCATTAACTTACCCACCACTTCATCATCTGGCTGAAAAAAGGTCACCTTTCTTCCAACTCATGAAGAATATATGAAAAGGATGAAAGAAGGTATGAAGATAAATGTTTATAGCTGAAATTGAACATCCATTTGAAAGCACTGTTTATCACTAGCTCATAAAACTAAAAATACACCCTGCTAGTGAAATTTTTTTTTTTCTGTTAAATATGCACATACCGAAACCAAATGTTTAATTCACTAAACTTGGGCACCCCATCCACAAACAGTTACATGCAAGTACACACACGTATGTGTGTTTGAAAGATCCAGGCTTTAAACTACACATCAAAGGTGGATGTGTCAGTGAAACACTGCCGAAATTCCCGAACATTATTTTGTCTTCACCATTCCAACAAATAATTTTTACAAATAAATTAAAAAGATTGTTATAGCATGTGCAAGTAATATCTTAAGATCTCAGTATATTTTATTTAGCAAGCTGCCATGCAATTTTATTTTTTTAAACTCTGAACAGATATGCAGGAATTGCAGTTCAGTTCCTTTTTTTACTTTCATTTCAGTATCATTACTGACTTAGGAAAAGCCTCATTAAGAAAGCAAATAGTTCCTACTATTAAAGGTGTACCATACAAACAGTATTTATTTGTTCTGGATTACCAGACCTTAATTCTTGCTCCATACCCTCACAAGACAATTATACTAACTTACCTTCCAATACAACTCCAGAAATTTCTCGACCAACAGGGAGAAGCTCCTTCTCCAGTTTAACTTCTGACAGAAGCTAAATGAAAATAAAGGTTACAACATTCTTACTAAGGCTCAAAATTTGCATATTTATTATCACCTTACAATATTTGATATTCACAGTAAGAAAGTTGGGCCATTGCCAAAATGTTATTTGGGGGAAAAAACTACACACATTCCTCATTTAATATTAAAACTTTGCACTGATTTTCTGTATGTAAATTTAGAAGCATATAAAAAAAAAAAAAAGAGAGTTATTAACAGGCAAGCCAAACTGTGACTTAAAGTCAGTATGCAGAGGATGATAAAAGGGATGTACTGTAAGAGAACTCACAGATGACAACTGATCTTTCTCCATAAGTTAGGAACCAAATCAGGTGCTTTTTATTTCAAGAGATATGTAAGAATACCACATCAATCCTGTGCCCTCTTTCTCAGCAGTAAAGCCATATCCTCAGATGGCATAAATGGAATTGTGCCAATTACTGGCTAAGGCCCTGGCTTAGATCTTCAATGGAAACTGTAAACACCTCTAGCTTTTATAAAAAAAATAAGCAAATACCTTTGTATCTATCCAGCTCAGTGCACAGGCTCTAACTTGTACTTTCACATCGTTGTCTCTTGTAGGAGGAAGGTTTTCCTAGGACAGATTTACAGACGTTACATTATACAATACAACATGAATGTGCTAGTAGGATCCTTTCAAGCTCTTGAAAGAACTTTTCCACAGTCTTTGTTTTAGATTGTTTTGTAGTCACAACAAAAGAATTTTTTTTTCAGTGAAAAGGGAACTGATAACACAATGAATTTACAACACCATTTTGAGTACATGTGTATTACTATTACAAACTGACCACTAGACCTTACTAAACTTTAACAGACACTAACATTTTTCTCGTTTTTTTTTCTGCAAGTTAAATATCACACACTTACCTGAAACAATTTTAGTATGTAATTACCCCCTACTGTCTGTCTAACAAATAGAAGGAAGCAGATCTTTAATATTAAAACTATATTGCAAGAGTGATAGAGAATTTTAAGAGAATTTTGACATGAATGTCTGACATACTGTACTGACAAACTTACTGAGGTAAATGTCCAAGTAGTCCAGACGATGTCAAAGAAAAGCAGTGTTAAGAATTGGTATTAAGTCTGACAAATGACGGCTACCTCACATACAAAAGCATTGTACTAATGAAGCCTCCTCTTACTATTTCAGCTTTCAGTTTTGGGATTGATATGTGAAATGATTTTAAGTAGTTGAGTGCTGCTACTTTAAAGTATTTAATCAGCCAAGTCGAGTTCTGGACTGCTGACTCCACACAGCTGTTGAATAGCTACCTCAGGTACTGGAGGCAAAATCATGTATTTCCATGTTATACTGTAGTCTGCAGTGTTGATGTCTGTTGCAATTGAAAGTGAAACACTAACCAGAAAGTCACGAGAGTGCTTTGTTTCTACTTATGAAGTTAAGATATATTCTTAAGTGTTTAAGCTTTCTTTGATTTTTTTTTTAAACTCCTCCCAAGAAACAGCTGTTGCTTTTCTCCTAGGCTTAGCAACATGAACAGTAACCTCTGTCCAAGGAATACTGAGCTGAACTTTTTCTCGCCCCAGCTGAGTTAAACACATGCTGTTGCTTTAAAATTGCAAGGCATTTTGCCAGTCAGACTGACCTCCTGCTCCTCAAACAGAAGTGGGTTCTCACTGTTCCACAAAACAGTTGAACATGTACCACATACATATACCACCATAACACATACAAATACGACATCTCTGGTTTAAAAAAAAAAAAGTAGTTAGATTCTAAAAGTCTTATGTAATTTATGTAAATTTAAGATTATATTGTCTTTTGGAACTATCTTTTGGTATGCATAACTCAGTGAACCCAAGTACTGCTACAATGCATGTAATAAATTTGCTTTTCTTTATAAAGGAATACAAGTCTTAAGAACAAAAAGAGATGATGAAATGTTTTTGCTGTTAACTGGTTCCTGCCTTCATAATTTAAATATGTCATTATTATGACTTGACCAAGCTAAACCTAAGGAAGGTTTGCTATGCAAATTCTTCATCCAAACTACTGGCTTTTCGTTATCTACCTTCTATTATATTAAGGTCTCCTCAGCCACCTAGCTTTCCGTTTCCTCACTTTTTTCAATATTTATTTCATTTTAAGATGAGGATTCCATAGTGCTGGTCATTACACAGACACCTGCAGAATCAGTTCCTGTCTGAAGAGATTTAAATAGGCAAACAAGCAGACAAATCCTATGCACAGGAGTGCGGTTTCAAGATCTGCTTTAGCTTACCTAAGACTGTACCAGAGCTGTCTGGCTCAGCTGTTGCCAGCATCTACATATTCCCATCCCTTCCTTTGTGTTGGAGCTAGCAATCATGGAGCCATCACAATGATGTGAACTAACTTGTAACAAATTACTAGTGTTTACCTGGATAAGTAAGCTGATCCATCTCACCTTACATCTGCATGATTCCTAAAACCATTACAAGGAAGAGAACAAAAATGTGCTGCTGAAAGGTGAACAAACCTTTTCAGCAAAAGCACAATTTCACAATCAGTTTAAGTAGATCTAAGACTGCCCCATGAATACGCACCTTGGTTGTATCAAAATCACCCATCTCATTGCATCCTTCTCTTCAAGCAGTTCATTAGATGTGCTTAACTACTGGGACTTACTGCTGCCCAAGCAAGATTCTCACCAGTACTACACTGTTTTGTTTTGACATATGGCTCACAGGTATAATTAGGTACCTATGTTACACAGGTGTACACAGGTACTTATAATAATTTATTTTGTACCTATAGGAGATTTAAGAACACAGATTCACATCCTCAAAACCACGTAAGCATTTTTCTACTGTTCAGATGCCCATACTGCATCAACTGTCTTGTTGTTCCTTTAAGTTGTAGGAAAACAGGTAGCTAGACAAAGGAGACTTATCAAAGGCTGCACTGTGATCTCAATCCTCACTAAGAGCAAAGAACTCGCAGAAGGAAAAAAACATAAGAGTAGGAACACTCCAAACACGATAAATTTCTCAAGTTATATTTCTACTTTTTCAGTGACCAGAAAATCCAACCAGGAAATGTGAATCCAGATGAAGCCAGGGTTCATTTGGTACGCCTACAAAACGTATGTTTAAAATACGGACACCAAAACTGCACAGAGAAATCTAGCACTGGACTTGCCAAGTGCTGCATGGTGATGGTAGAATACACCTCCCCTACTTTCATTTACCTGCCTGTATGTGCAAGTATTACACCAGTTCTTTTTTAAGCCTACAGAAGAGTTAGGTATTTCAATTCCCTTGTGGCATTCAGCCACACTCTCTTCTTTCACCGAATGATTAATACTGCTATTATGATCAGAACTCACTCTTTCCTGGAAAACAAATGTCATTTCCTCTCCAGGTGAATTCTGCTGACAATACAAGGCCTTCATAGTGATCTGAAAAAAGACACAGCAACCAAGCTGTAATACGTGCAATATCTATAGCACAAACAAGTAACTAAAGCTTTACATTACTTTATAAGCAGAACAGTGATTGCTTGCAAGCAACACAGGGCCTATGGCTCCTTCCAATACACAAGTTCCAAAACAGATCAACAGATAAGGCAAGATATGGTGTTACCTGCAACTGGTTACATCAGTATGGTTGACCATAATATAGCAAATCCTAGGGACCAAGTATGTACAGCAAAAGGCAATGAATGATACACAGGATGTACTGATTGGTGGTCCAATGCTGTAGATGGGTTGTTTGCCACCCAGGCTGGAAGGCACACACTTTGACTAGTTGAGACAAATGCAGTGCACGGGACAATAAAACCGATACAGGAATACAAGGAACCTTACATATGACTTAACTAAAAATCACAGCTCGAGTTGTCGGTCTCCTCTCCCACCTTGGCATGTGTGGTCCTCAACAAACCAGAGTCTTTTGGAGAGAAAAAAAAAATTCAGAAGTAGTCTCTTCAAGTTACAGGAAAAAGAAAAGCACAGAGGAGACAGGCAGAAAAACCATACGGCCATTATATTGCTTCTGGCGGCCAGCACTGACCCCTCAGGGACGCCCGAGGTTGAAGGGACCGCCCCGAGGCACCTCGCCTTTCAGAAAGGCGGAGCAGCGCCGCAGCCGGAGCCCGGCGCAACCCCGACCGGCCCCGCAGGGAGCCCCGAGCTCGGCGGTGCCGGCCCGCTTCGCCCGGCTCTCGGCTCGCTGCGGCCCCAGCGCTCACACCCTGCCCGAGGGCAGCTGCCAAGCTGCGCCCGCTTCCGTTAGTGCCACCGGCCGCGCCGCCGCTATTATTCCGGTGCTTTACCACACCGGAGAGCGGCTGGGCGGGAGAGACCTCACCAGCGCCCGCCTCTGCCTCCGCACCGCGGCAGGCGCCGCAGCCGCTCCTCAGCGCCCGCCGAGGAAACCCGCGCAGAGACGAGGCCAAAGTGAGGGGCCCCAACCCCACCCGAGGCACCCCCCAGCGGGAAGAGGTCCCCGGGAGCCGAGACGACGCA